CAGTATCCAGCCCATCGGATACTGTAGGGTACTGTAGTTTTCCACCGAAACTGATGACGTCATCGGATGAATGGATTACTGTAATTACAGCCAAAGCGCGTGGACGAGAGAATAGAGACGCAGTGGAGATGGGGAAACCTAGAAATTGAAATTTTAGAGTTTCAGAATTCTTGAGTTTATGAATTTCTGAATTTCTGAACGTCTGAATTTCTGAATTTCTGAATTTCTGAATTTCTGAATTTCTGAATTTCTGAATTTCTGAATTTCTGAATTTCTGAACTTCTGAATTTCTGAATTTCTGAATTTCTGAATTTCTGAATTTCTGAATTTCTGAACTTCTGAATTTCTGAATTTCTGATTTTCTGAATTTTCTGAATTTCTGAATATCTGAATTTTTGAATTTCTGAATTTCACAATTTCCGAATTTTAAAATTTCAAAAATTCAGAATTTCCGAATTTCAGAAATTTTCAGATTTATCCCAAAAACTCACCGTCAACTTGTTTCGCCGATAATCCCAATAAATTCTCGTTTAGTGTCGGAATTTCACTCGTTTTCAGAATCGAATTTTCAGTTTCTGGGAATTTCAGACCGGCTGGTGCCGTCAGAAGTTCCAGATGTGATGCTTTGGATATGGAGAAGAAGATGGGAAGTAGAAGAAGAAGAAGATTCTTCATTCTGAAAAGATAGTATAAATTTGGTTTTAAAAAATGACTTGAATTTAAAAAAAAAACAAGAAAAAGGATGTGAAATTTTTGGAAAAATCGGTCAAAAAAAGACAAAAATCACAGAAATTCAAAAAAAAATGGGACTAAAAATTCTGAAATATTTCAAAAATTGCTATTGTTTTCACTGGAAATTTTTGAAAAAAAACGGCAAACGTTCTCAAAAATTTGGCTGAAAATATCAAAAAAAAATATTTTTTTTAAATGAAAAAATGAAGAATAGATGGAAAAAAGGGAAATAACTCATTGAAATTAGAGAAGAAAAAGATGACAAAGAGAGAAAAATGAATCATGAATAATTTTTTTGTAGATCAACATTTGAAAAAATTGGTAGATCAAAAATCAAAAACCGAAAAATTTAAGGGCTTTTTTGAGAAGATGGATAATCAGAAATTCAGAAATTCAGAAATTCAGAAATTCAGAAATTTAGAGATTCAGAAATTCAGAAATTCAGAAATTCAGAAATTCAGAAATTCAGAAATTCAGAAATTCAGAAATTCAGTTATTCAGATATTCAGATATTCAGATATTCAGAAATTCGGAAATTCAGAAATTCAGAAGTTCAGAAATTCAGATATTCAGAAATTCAGAAATTCAGAAATTCAGTT